GTCCCACACTTATCGGCCCAAGATTTTATTATTACACCCACCAAGCCCGAGATTCAACATTTCTGAAGGATTGAAATTATGTTTTTTAATGTTTATATTTTAATTTATTATTTTGGCATAATATGCTCAAGTGGTTCCTAAACCCTAAAGTGATTCTAGGTACTCGTTGAGTGGCCCTAGGTTCTTTCTCCCTCTCTCTAATTCCATAAGCAGCACTTATAAGTTATAACTAGGGGTGGCCACGAGCTGAGCTCTTCATGAGCTATTCGAGCTCGTTTCGTGAAAAGTTCAACTTGGCTCAATTTCAATCGAGCTTCGATTTGACCTCGAACCCAATTTATAGGCTTGTTTATTAATCAAGCCTAGCTCGAATAGATAATAATAATAATAATAATAATAATAATAATAATAATAATATAACAAAATATTATATATAATATTTTTATTTTTATATATAAGAATAACTAATTATTATAATTCTTAATTTTTAAATATCAAATAAAAATATTTTTTATATATAATTTTTTTATAAACATTTTTCTCAAGTTGAGCTTGAGCCAAACCGAGCCCGAGCTCGAGCCACGTACTGCCTTGGCGAGCTGAGCTATTTGAGCTCGGCTCGGCTCAAATCCACTCCTACTTACAACAATCAAAGCTTACAAGTTTTTGCTCGACTTGTAGGGTATTGTGGTTGGATTTCCCTCCTGATGTAAATATGTAAATCGGGTTATGCTTCCCTCCCCTGGGATACTTTGGGGGTTGGCTTGGAATGGCCCATGGCCCAATCTAAACACGAACTAGGCCAAGCTAGACACAACACGCTTGGTTGTGTCGTGCCATACAATCATACTATGCTCGGCATGACCCGCATTTTGTCGTGCTGGGCTGCGCAAAAATCATCATCTCTATCATGATGTAACGTGATCTTTCTTCAAAGCTCACAAGTTCTTCATTGAAGAAGTTCATTAAACATTTCTAAAGGCCATTAATTTATCCAATATTTTTCCTATCTATCATCTATTTAAAGTATTGAAAGGGATAAATTAGATACATACTAACATTTGGCTTTCTTTACACAAAATGGCTAGTCTTAGGCTTAAAACCAATGGTCCCACATTTATCGGCCCAAGATTTTACTATTACACCAACCAAGCATTCAACATTTCTGAAGATTCAAATTATGCTTCTTCATGTTTATATTTGAAACCCAAAATCTTCCTATTTCAGCATTTTTTTTTGTTATTTAAGTCCAAATCATGTTTAATTGATTCCATAGTTGAAGATCCTAATATTGATCTTCATAAACATTCTATCAAATGTCATCTCATAATTTCACCTATAAAACCTCAGATTCTATCTTCAATTTTTTTTATTTATTTTTCAACATCTGCTGCTTGCACCACTTTGTATGGCACGTAACCAATCACAAGTGAACACGCCAGTGTTCCGTACACTGTCATGTGGGCTCCATATGTATGGAACATTGATGTGTTCAGTTGTGATTGGTTATATAGCTTGTGATACACAGCAGTGCAATCAATTCCTACCTGAGGGCCTGGGCCCGATACTGTGCAAATTCTTCAAGTCGGGTACCTACTTCCTAACCTGATAATCTTTACCTAATCCTAACTAATACCTTCCTAAACCATCTCTAATTTCTATTCTAACTAATACCTTCCTAAACCAACCTTTTTTTTTTCAGTCTAGTTGTGCGTCACTATTCACATATTCACATCGGTATCATAGTTCTACATCATTTGATATCATAGTTGATTGTCCTACATCAATTGGTCTTAATATTGTGCCATAATATCATATAAAATTAGAGTTTAACTTTTGAATGAAGTCTCACCCAATAATCTTGTGATCTCTTGTATAGTTGATGTAGGATGCAACGAAAGCAAAAAGTCCAATCTTCATGTGGTGGGTAGATCAGGGATAAAAGAAGTGAATTATGAGAGAGATACTGATCCAAAGCAGTAAGCCTGTATTGCCATTACGGACATTTAAATAAGTAGGATGCAAATGGATTGGATCGGATTCGAATAAAGGTATATTCGAATTCAATCTGACATTATTCATATTGGGTTCGATCCAATCGAATCTGATAGGACTTGATCTGAATTCGAATTTTATTGAGTCTTTGGATTTGATTTGATCCGACTTATTTTCTTTAAAAATTAATAAATTTTTAAAAGAAAAAAAAATAAAATATACCAATTTAAATAAAGAAAAAAACAAAAATCTGATTTGATCTAAATTCCTTCCTAAACTAATTATTTTCATCATATATATACATATTTTGTATAAAAAAATAAATAATATAACAAATTTATAAAAATATAATATAAATAATATGTTTATAAATAAATAAATAACACATATTATGCATTATATATTTATATTTTTAAATATATAACACATCAGATCAGATCTTATCGGATCAGATAGAGGATGATCTGAATCCGATCTGAAGATTTCACCAAATAGGATTGGCCCGATCCATTTGCACCCCTATAATTAGGGCAGTAATCGGATCAGATCTGACTACATTCGCTTTCACTTCGAACCTTTGGATCCGAATCCCAATTTAGTGGGATGGTAAAATCTCAGGCTGACAAATTTGAAAACAAAGTTTAGGTTTATAAGCGTCCATTTTATGCAACAAAAAAAAATGCTAAACATTATATTTGCATCCAATCCACCCCTCCCAGCATCACCAGTAACTAGACCAATTTGCTTTCTAGTTTTCCAACTTGAATGCAAGGAAGATGTGAATGCTGAATGGAGAAGCCATACATTTCTTGAAAATATTCAACAACTGACTTCATAGATGATTTCTCATCAAGAGGAAACTTGCCAGATTTTACATAATCAAGAACAGAATCACCATGGAGTCAGGTCGCTTGTTCTTGGAGGTCGGCACACATAAATACTTGAATGAAAAGGAAAACTACTCAAGTTCATTTACAACTGAGGCATGCAAGTGTTGGCAAGTTACCCTGCTTGGTAAATGATACTCAGGAAAATAAATTTTCCCTGAGTAGGCATACAAGTGTTGACAACTTAAATCTGAAAAAAGAACATGGGGTTCTTGGTCAATAGAAATCAAAATCCCCTAAACAGAGACACTCATTGGTCTGATTCCAAAATTTAATTACAATGTCATAGTTCTCAAGGGTAAGCCTTATCAGCTTTGAAGGTCAGTTAATGGGATGTACATAATTATCCAATATTATCTCTTCTTACTTGTTAGGACATATCTATCAAAAAGTGGATTCAGACCTTTGCACGGGTGTTTATGCATGAGAACAATAAAATTGCCGATTCTGGGCACACCTGGTGACCTTTTAACTGGTTTCAGGTTGGGTGTAGAATGACTAGAAGCTCACTTGGTTTTATTCTGCTGGTTGCATTGTGGCCTGAGTTAGTCCGTCACACTTTGGTTGGTTTTAGTTAACACAGTCTGCTATGCTTCGCATTTGCCCTCTGATGTGCTCCATGCTCAGTCTCACTGGGATCCCACATTTTCTATCATTCTTCTGTTTGAAGATTACCAAGAGCCACCCTGATTCACTCCTAGTTTCTTTGTTGATTTATACTTGTTAAAACCTATTCCCTTGAAGGATTAAATCGATACTTAAAGGCATAATCTCTCCAGCCCATAACTCTTTCTCATATTTGAGGGTACTTTTATAAGGGAAATGAAGTCATATAAACGAACTCATTACTGCATTCAGTGAAATGAAGAGTATGAGACATTCCTAAGAGCCATGCAAAATCTGGAAGAAGCAAGCTTCATGGTGATTTGGAGCTCCATCAACAACGCAATTCCTCCATGTCCCCAACCATCGGATGGTTTTTAAGATACGTCTATATTGTGTTAGATCTTTTGTATTCCTAACTTCAGGAGGTTGCTGCTTCAACAGAAGTAGAGGCCTGGGAGACCTAGAGACCAAGTTTTGGGTTGGTTTTTTGATTTGTTGGAGTTTGTTTCGCTTTTGGGGTTAGAGATCAGAGATCAGTTATATCCTAGTTGATTTAGTGGAAGTTTTTTCACCTATGGATACAGGCTTTCAAGCTGACAATTTTGTTTTTATCGTTTTTTATCTTCGTTATGTGTGATCAAATGCACAACTATATCTGCAACAAGGCCTTGCCAAGAAGAAAAAGAAGAAGCTATCTGCAATCTGGTGTGCACCTGATGGCAAGTCTCCAATGATCAGGACATCAAGACTATTGTATGAACATTGTACCATGTTTAAAAGAAATCCCAAAACCCAATTCAAATTACACATGGTTTTAATGCCAATGAAAATTCACAAAATTTCAACTTCCAATGGAGCCATTGACATTAAATATAAAATATTTATTCCTTACTTATTTTGATCAAAATTTGGGGATTTCTTCATATTCATCTCTGCTTTAAGTCAGCATTAAAACCCTCAAACCCATGTCTCTTTAGTCAATAGTCAGGGGACATGTCTCCTACATTTAGTCACACCATTAAAACCCTCCCCAAATGCGAAGAATTTGGCTTGGCTCTCCCTGCATGACTTGTCCACATGAACTTCATGGAACGAGGCATGACTGTATGGACTGATGTGTCATGTGGAGATAGCCTGTGTGGACAGCACAAGCTGCCAAATATAGACGGCCAAAGTTTTCCCATACCAGCCATTCTCTCTCTGATGAACCCACCCAGTGGTCCCAGTCAATCAGCCTCCATAGGATGGATTCAGGACTGAGGAATCTTATCAGTTTATCATATCTCTTTTACATATTGTGGGCATAGATGTCATGGCCTTGGAAGAAAAAAGCTGTGTGCAAGGAGCAGTTGTTTAAGTGGGGGATTTCCCCCAGGAAGCTAATCTCCCTAGTAAAGTGGACTGTGCTCTACTTTTTCTCTTATTACCATCTTTGTGGGATCATAGTTCATAATCTGAACTGCGAAAACTATGAAAATAAATCGAAGTTACTGAAAATTTAAACAAGGAAAATAAATAAAATCCCCCCAAAGGCTGATAATGAAAGTCTGAGTTATTATGGCAGTTTGTGAATTTTCCAAGTTCCAACAACTGGTCCCACTCCCTCACATAAAAAGCACCCACTATAGGTTGCCATCATATATACAGGTCTGTTTATCTCTTCTTTCATTAAAATATTTTTTGACATTCCATGGAGCCCTTTTCAGTGTGCAGGATGAGGCAGAGCGCTCACTGGACGGTGTGCTTGGATGGCACATGCACAATGAACAGATGTTAGATTAAGACAGCCACTTATGATGAGGGAATGCCTTCCTGGGCAGGTGTGAAGTGCAGGGAATGAATCACACACAACCTGAACTGCTGGAGGGGTGAGAGCTGTGCACTGGCTGATGTTGAGATTCATAAGCCCTTCATTATTGTATCCACTTTTCACAGACTTCCACAGATTATGCTTGCCCTTCACTAGGCTGTTGGCCAGGGAGTACATTGCTCTGTCTGTAATGTTCTGGCAGTAGTACAGGTCAAGGGATCTCAGATGATGGCACCTGTTGGCCAAAGCAATCACACTCTCATCTGCAACCAAGAAATGATATGGATATAATCATATAATAAGATCAAGAGAATCATGATAGTAGTCAAGATTAGAAGAGAATCTTGTTAACACTGATGACAAGAATCTGTAGTTAGGAAAAGAAACAAGGAAAGAGAATGGAAAGAAAGCCATTTCCAACTAGGGGTGAGCAAAAAAACCGAAAAACCGAACCAAAAAATCGGTTAACCGAACTGGTCGGTTTGGTTTTGATTCAGTGTTTTTAAAAAACCGAAGGTACCAGTTCGGTTTCGGTTAACCAATATAGAGAACCGGTGGTTAACTGAACCGACCGGTATACATATATTTTTATATATTTTATATATATTTATGTATATTATATATTATAAATTAATAAATATGCATTATATATAAATATATATATATAATATTTTATATATTTTTATAATATATATTGTAAAAATTAAAAAACCAAAAAACCGATGAACTGAAAACCAATCAACCGGTTAACCAACTGGCTTTAGTTCGATTCCGGTTACCGGTTTTCCAAAAACCGGTAGTACCGGTTCGGTTCCAAAATATGCCCCACATTTCAGTTAACCGAACCATGAGCCCCCCTATTTCCAGCAAACCATCTTAGTTTGGGTAAACCTGGAAACCAAGTGAGATGGCTCATTCTGGCAACTGAATTATATAATATCAAGTCCTATCAATATTGATGCAAATTAAGGAACACAACAAATAGATATTATAGATCAAACATGGATGCATTGAAGCAGAAGCAAAGATGCTTAAATTGAGAGACACTCTTTGGGGCAGAGCCCTTCAAAAAGCTAAGATGGTGTACTAGAATACGCAGACCATACCAAGACCACATACAGGGTATTCACCTAAATGTATAGATGGTTTTGTCACTGGTATGACATTTTTATTTTGGAATACCTGTTATAAGAATGCAACCACACAGGTCTAGGACCCTTAGATCTGGACACCCATATGCCAAACTTGTAACTCCAACATCCGTGACACCGTCACACCAACCTAGATTCAAAGACTGCAACTGACTGCAATTGTATGCAATAGCCTGCATGAATAGCAGAAAAGTTCTCCTCAGGAAAAGGAAGACCTCTTTAACATATAAAGAGCCAATGGTAAAAAAATCTCTGTTAGTTTCCCATACCTGCAAGGCTTTGTCAGTTGCTGTTCTTACACATCCACATAGATTCAGGTATTTTATGTTCCTGCAAAATCCAGTTAGATATGCAAGGGCAGAATCACTGAAGGCCGAACAACCGCTGATGTTGAGCTTAGTAAGATTAGGACACCCATGGGCCAAGGCATATAATGAGAAGTCACTTAGCTTGAAACTTTTGCTGAGGTCCAAGTCCTGCATGTCATGACAGCAGTTTGCAATTGTCTCAACTGCATTATCCTCAAGTTGTGGCCTATCTTGGCGCAATATTAGAGTTTGCAACTTTGTAAACTTGGGGGCAACTGATAGCACAAGGTTATTCATGTTATTCTTGCACCTGCAAAACATATGACATGCAACATGAAAAACTGCAAACATGAAGACTAGAGTAGCTCACCAAAGTAATACAAAATAGAGTGAAAGAGCAGGGAAAAGATGCCAAATATAACTGATATGTGCTTTGTATGTATATTGAAAAAGGTTTTCCTAATTGGGTCAAGTTGGGAGTATCCCTACATTGCCTGCCATATTTCACTTCTACATGGAGGGATGATGTACCCAATCCACTATCCATGCAATGCTGGTTTATGTTCTGATCACATCTCAAGGGTTTTGGGCTCAACTTTGTTCCATTAATAGGAATAGTGATAGGAACATGACCCCAAAACAATTTGCAATGTGAAAGATCTTTGGTTATACAGCTCCCCTTGCTAAACGATCTATTTTATTGCCTAGAGCTAAGCTAGCTTCCCACAGTTGATGTTGGCATCATTTGGCTGGAATTCTATGCTTCCATTTCACTATGCATACTGCATGATAATTATTCATAGCAGAATGAAGAAAGATAGATACTGGCAGGAGAAAACTATGCCCCATAACTGGGCAAGAACTTCACATATCAGGAAATAGGCACAATATTTTGCATTACATTCACAAGTTAAACAGGAAAGGTATATAAGCACAAGTTAAACAGGAAAGTTACCAGAACCAGCTATATATGAAGAATGACCATCTATTTGGTAATTGCCAATATTGAGGATACAAATTGAAATAAGAAATACATATCATTAGACAAAAAAAGTCAATTAACAAAGCTTATAACCCCATAAGTAGGAAAACAAGCATCCTGGTTCTCCTATTTTATTGGTCTCACTAGTCACGCTGGCCACTTGATGGATATGTTGTTCTGTGCAGTTTGTCTTTACATTCCTCAGGTCACCATTTATGTCATGGTTTCCACATGTTTAAACATGCTTTCAAGTCTCCACATCTTTCAAAAATAAGCATGTGCATAGAGAATAGAACTAGGTAACTGAGCAATTTGTGCAAGCATATTTGAGACATATGATCAAATTATAGATGTTTTTCAAATAAAAGAAATGGAATAATCCTAACTTTTTTTTGTTTCACTTTGTGATATTGAAGTAGGAAAAGCATCTTATCATTAAAGCTTAAATGAAAATCATGTTTACCCTCGAGAGTCAACAATGTTAACCACTCAGGTATCAACATTTGGAGGACCTTCAACGAATGGAAATAATTGGGACCTTAGAACCAATGATCAAAACTTTGACTTTAAGGAATTATAAAGGACCCCCATTCTCTCTTCACATGTTGCAACTTCCCTAAACACTACCATATAAAAATGCATACAATTTATATAATCATTGAGAAAGGCCAATCCATATTGAAGGTCATCTGGATGATGGAATTAGCAATTACCTCCAGAATATCCAGATGCCTGGGGTTAAAGAGACTCAAATCATATGAATAGTTTGAATATAGTGTCAGGAATCCTACAATCAATAAATGTTATCAAGATAGAAGTTGAATTAGTCAATCTTGATATAACTGGATCCCACAGAATACGGGTAGTTTAAAACTAAATTTTGATGGGTACAGGCTAGGCAACATGTGTGCTTTAGGTATTGGTCGGGTAATAAGAGATGAAGAGGACAGTACAAAGATGAGCTTTGAGGGCCTTTGGGTACTAGTAACTCCCTAGGCCCCATTCATTTTTCGGGTATGAGGAGGGTGGGGAAGTTGGTCAAAAAGAACTATGTTCCCTGGGTATCAGTATCGCTTACCCAGGTAAGTGAAACCCATCTCCTAGGTGGGTAAGTAACTTTCCCACCTGGGGGGGGGGGAGTTGCCAATACATGATGCGACAAAATTGCCTCTTTTAATAATGACTTTTTATGGGTAAAACGGTCATTGTTTAATTTACCTGGGAAACAAAAGAACATGGGTTAATGCACTTACCTGGGTAATTACCCAGGTAAATGACCAAATGAAAAAGGGACGGAGCCTTAAGAGCTGAACTGATGGTAGTCATAATAGGTTTAGAGATAGCAGCTATACACTGGAGAAACTTAATTGTTGAGGGGGACTGTCATGTTGTTATCTCCTGGTTGTGTACATAAAAGGTTGTACCATGGAAATTCAGGTTTACAGTAAGGGAAGCTCAGTCTTTGGGAGAAAATCTGAACTGATAATTCAGATGGATCCCAAGTTAACGGACTTGCTCATGGCCTAGCTAAGTCAGGGGTATCGATAGATTGTTTAGTCAGGGGTAATGTAAAGCATTCATCACAAAATATTAAGAAATGAAAGGTCAGATTTCAGCTATGTTGTATTGTCCTTGCTGGCCATTAATTGGTCAGCATGGTATATTTGAGTATGAATGAAATTCATTCTGTTAACCATTAAAATCCATTCCACTTTCTTTTGTGCTTCCTCTTTGGTTTTTTTATACTCCCTTTTCTCCCACTCATTCCTTTCTCGTTAATGAAATTTGAAGAGGACAAGTGCCACTAAAGTGAGGAGGTTCTTCTGTTGGGAAGTCTTCCACTTGAAAATTAACACTTGTGACAATCTTTGGTTGCTTTATACTCCTTTTCTCCCTCTCATTCCTTTTTTGTTAAAGAAATTTGAAGTGGACAAGTGCCACCTAAAGTGAGATTCTTCTGTTGGGAAGTCCACTTGAAAATTAACACTTGTGAGTGGTGACAATCTTCAGAGGAAAAGACCTGGGTGGTGTTTACCTCCTTACCTTAGGCTTGTCTTTTGCATTATGAAAATAAGGAAATTGTTTACAACTTGCTATTCTAATGTCTTTTTGATACTTGAAATTCATTATCGTTCCTTGACCACACGAGAATTGGACCAATGGAAACACTACATAATGTCAACTAAACCAATTTTAGACATGCATGAACCTAACACTGTTACTTCATATAAATCATAATATAACAAACTTAAACAAGCTGCTAAACTATACATGTCATGACATGCTCTGCGTTACTGCATATGTAATCTCTGCCTTAACCGAATAACCCACAACTGGTCAAATGATCTTCATAGATAGGATGACCTTTTTTTATTCAAGTCATGAGATAACTTAAACAAGATGGCCAAGCATGTCCCAGGGGTTTCACAATACGGGTCAAAAGATACTCAATAACAGGGCATTACAGTGATGATTTATTACATCTCCTTTCAAGAAAACCCAAATGATAAAATATATCAAGATTCAAGAGTGCATTAATATTCGACAGTAGAGTCTTAGGCTCATCCAGAAAGCAAACGTACATAAACATATGGAGATGCATGCACATCCACAGTCACAGATGCATATTGTTTGCCAAGGAAAAGGCACAGATGCACATACAAACAAATTTATGAACAAACACCACAGACAAAACACATTCACACACAGAGATTATTGGACTAGATAGATGAATAGATCATATAAAAGCTCCAGGTATCATACAAGAAATTAACAAAACCCCCTTCATATTCTTTCTTCTTCTTTTGTTTTAGTTTATGTTTTTATTATTTACTTTTTTTTCTNGGGGGGGGACATGGTCTATGATTCCAAACTGTACACTGCAATCAGTCCAGAACCTTCACAAACAGAAGCTAAAAGTAAAGTTACTAGGGCAATGATCCTCACCACCACAGATGGGATGATCCTAGAGAAAAGTAAAAGCAGTGACACAAAGGTAAGCATTATCACCCCAAGCTCTTACTCTCACTTTTCAATAAAATTTATAAAAGAACAGAAATGGTAAATATTTCTAGGTAGTATCAAGTCCATGGATGATGCATATGAGCAATATAAAAAAGCAAAAGAAAACAAAATGTGCTACAGAATCTGACCTTGAAGAAATAAACTAAGGGTACAGAAAAATATAAGAACCATTGAAAAGAACAAGATGAACACGCTTTACCATGACAGAGAGAGTTGGGTGAGCCCTAAGCAAATAACATCTCTCCATCCAGTACACACTCCTGCAGCCACGATGGCCGTTCGATCGTCCACAAGAGAGACTATTCGCAGCAGAAGCTCCATTGGAAGGTCCTTCCAGCCGGTCATCACAGCTCCTCCTTCCATCTTCCCTCCTCCACCACCAAGCACCAGAAGCTTCTGAAAGCACAACTCCAAATCCTCAGTCCGAATGCCCTGTCCAACCATTTTACTTATGACCACACTGCCTTCTACAAACGCAAAAAGGAGAAAGCCCTCTAGAAACTAAGACGAAAAAACAGAGACAGAGTTCCAACTCCCGAGACATTAAATTCGGAAAATTTCAGTGAAACGACAAAGGAACCGATCTGTCAACAACATAGAACAGTTGCAGATATTACCATTTTTGTAATTATTCCATAAATAATAGACCCCACAATAGTTCAATACAGAGTTAAGTGTTTTGTACACATGTCAGTACGCATGATAGTACACAGACCTTAACTTTTATAACGTGCCCATGTTTAAACTTCAAAACGTTATTGAATAGAGAAGAAAACCAAAGATAATCTCATAAAGAAATACAACAAAAATCCAATTGTTGATAATTTTTGGATTTAGGAAACTTCAATTCTATCAACTGATTCTAGCCCAAGCACAAAACCACTGAAAGAATTTAAAATTAGAAAAATATTTTTTTTCTCAAATGGGTTGATTTAAAAACTAAATATGGAAAGTGACTAGCAGAAAGAAAGGCAAAGATAAAATAAATTACAAATCGTCAGCTAAACTAAACACTAGCAATTTTAAGAATCAGAGTGGCATGATATGAAAATACCCTGCCAAAAGAAAATGGGAAAGAGAGAGATATTTATCCAAAAACCGTTAAAATATAGTGAATACGTTTGGAAAACAACAGATTATGATTAATTCAAGCGTGCCCAGATGAAAATAATCGATGGACATGGAAAACCATATTGAGTTTTCCGGAAGAGAATTGTAGAAAATAACCGTTGGGTAAAACTTTCAGTTGAGAAACGACTGAAATAGAGGTAAGAGATTGGGAGCAATAGATTTGAATTCAAAATTCCGGGGAAAATGAAGACATTAAACGGGAAGAGAGACGACAGGTGATCAGACTGAAATTAAAGAAACCAAAAGCGGAAAATCAAACTAGAGAGAAGCAAAAGATCTCAGGGGGAGCCTGACCTGCTGGTTCTAGTGGGCCTTTCTTCCTCTTGTATTCAGTTTGCCACAGACGTTGGATGACGAAGGAACTGAAGCTGGGCAAGGAGGAGGAGGAGGAAAGAGAAGAGACGTAAGGGAAGAAAGGAATGGGTCTTGCCAGTGTCGTGATACGAAGAGTTGATGCAGCAGCATAAAGTGGGTCCCACGTCAAATTCTTTTCTTTTTGTTTGAATGGAGAGAGAGAGAGAGAGGGGTCATTGAATGTCTATAATCGAAACCGCCAGAAGTAGAAAAGTGGAAATGGGAAATTGGGAATCTCGCCTGCCTGCTCTCTCCCCCTCAATCTTTCCTTGCTTCGTTCTTTCCTAGGAAATCATATATTAGAGAAAATTACATTTTACCGCCTATACATTGAGAGTATTGATACGTGGACCTGAATTTTTATTTTCCTAAAAGTCCCTCCAAATATTTAAATGTTAAAACTTAGTCCTTCTGATGGTATTCCACTATTCCGTCGGTTAATTCCGAAAAAAGATTTTCTTGAAACTTTAACGTATTTAATAAACATTTTCAATTCCCCAAATCTGTGAGACCACTTTGCCTCTTCACCTACAGTATTAGTACGAGAGTACAATTTGATACTGACAATCAATCAGCCGGTATCATAAAAAAGTGATATCCAATTAATTGACTGATATTCAACAAAGTCTAAGGGGGCCTTGATTGGTCAAAATTCTTATACGTTCTCTTCTCTTTGTATAATATACTTTACCTAAAATGCAATCTTGAAAGGGCAATTCAATAAATTAACTTTTTTCGTTAAGAAAAAGTTGGGGTTAAATATCATAACACCAAATTATAGGTCGTAATCTATAATATATGATAAATAATTTAATGTTTTTTCATTTTCTCATGTTAGTTGGGGAGAAGGAAAAGGAAATCATTTGTCATGGTATTATTATTCGTAAAAAGGAGCTTGTTTTTCCAAGGTTCGGCTCATTTATTGGAATTTTGAAACGAGACACTTCGGGTTTTACCTTCTTTTGTTTGTTCTTCTTAAATTACTTGTCACAATTCACAAAAAGCGGCAAACGGGTCGAATCATCAGATGATCCGATTTCGATCTCATATGTAAACTATAAATCTGACTATTTATATGTCGGCATAGCTAATTTGGGTTCAATAAAACATTTGGGTTGTTCCTTACCCAAAAAAAAACATCTGAATTGTTAGTTGATATGGTTGGACAAAATCTTGGACTGTCATGCCGGTTCATCAGTTACTTTGTGAGTTAAATTATATCATTCCCACTCCTTAATGGACCGGTTTTGGATTGGACTCCATCCAAATCAAAATCAATTTGGATGAATTGAATGTACCAATAAGACATTAAATTTAGACGGATTGGATGAATTAATATAATATATTGGATTAGATTAGACCCGGTTCCTCCATGATGAAATTATATTGAATTGAGCCAATATCTGGTCCATTAATAGAAGATAAGAACACATGTATCAACGGACCAGTTTGAATTGAAACCAATCTAAATTAACAGAAATTTGAACTGGATTGGACCAGATCCATTTGTAATGGACTCACATTGGATCGGATCTGATTGGACCAAATCCAATCCAATTGACACCCCTACTCCTACTGTCAAGTCGCCTAAATAATTGAGATCAATGGGCAATACTTGGCTTCTACTAAATTAGGCCTACTCCCTCCTGATTTTTAGAATTAAACCTTGAAACAGGGGCGGGGCGGAGTTGAGTTTTGCATATTCTATTTTCGGTTCTGAACTCAAATGTCTTGCCCCGAACCCCATGGAGGCTAAAAATCCAGCCTCATTTTCATCTCCAATCAGGCTGGGCTCGGGGTAGGGTAGACAAATACTATTCTCACCTCATCTCCAATCCCCTAAGTTTTGGGTTTCTCCAAAACCCGCACTAAACCTTGATCAGTGGTAAAAAAAAACCTTTAAATTGTCATTTCTAACCTTAAACCTTAAAATCTAAGCTATAAACCTTTAAACCCTAACTCCTAAGCCACTAAACCCTAATATTAAATCTTAAACCTTAAAGCCCTAAATCTAAACCAAACCGTTAAACCCTAACCCTAATAATAAATCTTAAACTTTAAAACCCTAAATCTAAATTAAACCATCAAAACCCTAAATCTTAAGCTCTTAAACCTTGAATTTTAAACCCTAATATCTTAAACCATAAACCCCTAAAACTCTACCCCTAAGCCCTAAAACGAGTGTACAAAATGGCTAATAGTAGGATGCATGTCCTCGAACGTGATAGGAGTCGAGTATTTTTCGAAATCAATATTGGGTAATGACCTTTATATGTCAAAGGTTATTAGGCTGAAAATTTGGCTTATGAATTAAAATGGGGTGGTGCAGGTGTAGTATCTTCAGGAATCCAAAACATGTTACTTCGTGGATTCTGGGGTCAATTTCTCAATGAAACAGCTCTTTCCTAACAGAAACTTGACAAGCAGACTGCTCGGATTTGAAATATAATCAAGTACATGTTCTTAATTAAAAGACTTAAAAAAAAAAAGAAATAGGGTTTTCAAATATTTTCTGTTGAGAACCTATTGTGATCATCCAGGTTGAACCAAAAGCCAGGAACCAAGTTTGCCAATTCACTCTATTTTGGAGGCTGTTAACTGTTAGTTTGGAAGTAGTATAAATACAAATATCTAGAGTAAAAAACTTTGTATTTTGTATGCATTTGTACTGTATATATTTGTCATGGTTTTCAAAATTGGACTGGAAAAACTAGAAATCGGTCATCTAATCAGTTCTATTTTACCCTAGAATCGTCTTTTGGCAAAAAATCGTTGATTTGGTCAACAAGCCACTGACCCCGGTGATTGAACTGTTCAAACTATCCAACGGTTTTTGGCCGTTTTTTTTTTGTCAAAACAGGCTGTCCATTCAGTTCGAACAGTCAAATTGTTCAACCCGGGAACTGGACCCCTGAATGGTTCATTGTCCGATTCAATTTTAAAATCCTTGATATTTGTATTTATACTCCTTCCAAACTGAGCCTAACAGCCAAAGTTTTCTCATGTTTTAGAAAAATTTCCTTAATCAATCATATAAGATGTTTGAGGACTGATGCTTCAATGAACTATTATTAATTAGTTAACATGAATAAGTTGATTTAGATTATAATATAAATAAAGGTAAATTGTTGAAACTTCCCCTGAAGTTTAATAATTGCAACCTCCACTCTAAACTTTCTGACACAGTTGTAAATAGATCCCCTTTGTTAGAATCCTCTAACAAGAAACACAAAAATGTCCAAAACATTCATGCAGTTGCTTTCGAGGCTAGTTTTTTATAGGAAAAAAATAACACAAAATATATAAACAAAAAAAAAGAATTTAAAATTGTAACTTTCCTTTTGAGCAATTGATATGAAAGGCATATTTGAAAAATAAATCAATTTTGGAAAAAAATTTAGAAGAATATGGGATAGAATCACTTTAAAGAGAAATTTTGAAAAATAAACAATTTTATCAAAAGTAACTGAATGGTTATTTTAAACATTTTCATAACTTTAGTAAAAGATTCTATCAGAAGGGATCTACTCACAACTGTATTAAAAACTTCAGTGAAAGTGATTACAATTATCAATACTTCAGAAGAGGTGTTACAATTACAATTTACCCTAAAAATAAAAAAGATCCAACTTAGTTAATAAATAGATATAATAAACTATGGCTAGACATTTTGGTCACATCTCATCTATTGTGTCAATATCAGTCAACTTTGCTTGTCATTCTCATGTTAGTATTCTAAGTTATTTTGCTTTTTTCTTCTGTCATCATGGTCATTATAACGACGAACTACTTTATGCTTGAAAAGGAAAACGATATTATCTTTTAAAAAAGATTAGTCACTGCCCAAGACCCAATTGTTTAACGAACCAAGCATTGATTATGATCTACATACATTTTGCTTTCAGTCTTTCACAGCGATTAGGCTTATGTCAATATATCTGCTGGGGGAAGAAGCAACCAATGAGACAACGACTTCTGGGTTACAAAATATGTCGTTTTGTTCTCTTTGGATTTAGGTTTGGGTTTGGAGAAGTTCTCTTAAACCGAAATCTTCTTCAACCAGTCAAGGATAATAGGGCTGCAATTCGGGTCGGATTGCCCTATACGAAGTTGCACCCTTCCCTAGTCAAAAGATAAAGGTTTAAAATATGGCAATATATCAATATGTATTGATTGATATACTTGGGATTTTCATCTTTTGATAGATGATTTTATTTATTTTATGTGTCATTGTATGATGTGACATTTGCACCGATAAAATATCAGACAAAAAAATATATTAAAAATAGTTTTAATTCTGCCAAAAATAAAAACTTTGGGTAAGGGGAATGACTGACTGGGTCCTCAATTCTTCATGGTCCATAGTCTATTACATTGGATATTAAATCATGCAATTGAACTGTCTAACCAATGGCAATCCAGGTTGCATATAAACTATATACAAAAAGAGAAGGTATCGAAGTTCAGCTTTATTCAATGTCGAACTTTTATATGCTTTCAATAAATACTCCTGTTATTTATAAAATCTCTAATTTATATACATTCCATTCAATTAGCTTCTTAAAAGGGTAAAAGACAAACACATTCTGATTTTCATAAATTTATTTAATCATACGGAGTTTTTTAAAAGATTTAAATATATCTTGTGACTCTTTTTCTTTTAAATTTTTAAAGTAAACCATCACCAATGGATTAATTCTTTTACATTTGTGACTTTTTATTACATATTCATCTTAGCGAATGAAACTAAGGATCAAAGTATTAGTATCGAGTACCGTATCGGATAGACCAGATACAAAATCTCTTTGAAATGTATGAATACGGATGAAATATATACAATAGCTCAATTAATACATTAGAAAAATGCATACAGATCACATAAATATATTAATAAAACAAAATTTCAAGTTGAATTATCTATTAATAAGATATAAACACATGAGATAGGAACACTTTAATAGGTTATATAAAGAGAAACACTACAATCAACAATACTTGGACTCTAGAACATATATACATCATACAATAATTATCATTCTATTTCAATTTTTTATTAATTTTTAGGATTT